TCACAGAGGGAAAGGTCTGTCTGTCCAGCTTGAAATAATAGGGCTGGACTATAATCCACCCCCTCAGAAGACGTGTTTCAAAACTCAAACCAGAGCCTTCGAGGTGGTCCAGGGAGTAAAAGGTGTCTGCCACCAGCCTTCACACCCTGAGTTCAACCCCGGCCACCCTTGTGGTGGAAGGAGGAACCGATTCCTGCGAGCTGTCCTCCACACGGGCACAATGGCACAGCACATTGCAAACAGACACATAGACACACACACACACAGACACACAGACACACAACACACACACACACACATACACACACACAGGAGAGAGAAAGAGAGAGAGAGAGAGAGAGAGAGAGAGAGAGAGAGAGAGAGAGAGAGAACCCACCAAACAAAGAATGTTCAAAAGAAGTTATATTTCTAAGTAAATATTCAAACAAGAGGCACTGGTACTGAATTTGGGGAAAGGAAGCTGGATGGTAGGTTGGGATCAGGATTGTCTTTAGCCATGGGGCATTAGGGAAGGTAACAATCCTTCTCTGTTCACAACTATACAATGTGAACTACACAGCTTCCAACTGTGTTAACGGTTAATTATCATTCACAGGGCCGGGCTATGAGGAAGACTGCCCACAGGAAGCCTGCTCCCTCTCCCTGTGGCAGAAGAAAGTTAGTGGAGGTGGGGTGAAGGGAACAGAAGCCACAGGTCAGGGTCACTGAGCCAAGTCTTTGCTAGCATCGAGTACCTGTCCCTCTGTTACTCTACATAAGAAATTGCAATGTAGGTATCACCAGCATCTCATTTGCAAGTAGAAACCCTAATGAGGCTTCATGAATGATGAGACGTGCCCAGACTCACAGCTGGGAACTACAGGGACAAGACTGTCATCCACAATGAAAAAGCCAATACTCTCAAGAGGGAGTCAACCTAAGATGTGTCCCAACCCAGAGAATCCTGGAGGAAGCTCACCTTGTTACCAGCTGTTGTCCCTGCTGGAAATGACCTTCCAGCAGGGTGATGAGGGGACTTGACACAAGAGCTGTTTGCACAAGCGTGGACTGGGTTGATGGGAGGCTATGGGCATGGTGCAGCCTCCGGAACTTGGGGAAAGGTGACCGCAACACTGGTATGCACACATACCAGTGTTGTGAAAATGAAGAAGTCTTTTTCCTACCCCCAGAACCCAAAGCCTCTGCAGAGGAACACAGGACCCCACAGGGAAACAGATCCCATTAACTCATTTGCCTCCCCACTCTTGGTCATCTGCAGATTCTTCCATGGGCATCAGTCATATCTCCAGGGGCTTGGGAAGCAGAACAAGAAAGATGGGAGGGTCTGAATAACAGACAGACATGTCACATAGGAATGCCCCTCCCTTGGGAGCTCTGGGCTTTCCCCTCACAGGGATGCACACACCCTCCAAAGTCACCAGGTAGCCATCGGCACACCCCAATTTCCAATGTCCCTCTGGAATAGGAAGGTCCCTAGCACTCTGCATCATCTTCGGAAAGAGGTAGTGTGGAAATGGTGGGGGCTGAGGGTCCCTCTTCTGGGAACTTGATGGAGGCCAACAAACACTGGCGAGGACAACAGCTAACAGCAATTCAATCACCAAACCCACAAATAAGAACACATCTATGATGGGCCAGACAGAGCCAAGGATAATGGAGGCCCTCTTCAGCATCCCATCTCCCCTGTGTCTGCCTCAGAGTTTTTCTTGTTCTGAATCACGGTGCTGCCATCCATCTTCTTCTCTGCTCTCCTGGATGTCACAGCTCTCTGTCCATGTCTTCCATGCCCTCTGTACTCCAGGCTCCTGTGGACATTTTCACCATGGGGACTGCTTAGTCATTCTCTGTGCCTGTTCTCTCTGAAGAAGGATTTTGTTCCAGAATTCCCACAACCTTTCCCAGAGAGAGCGGCAGCTCACCAGTGTTGCAGAACTTCATTCTGGATGGTTAGTGAGACTCAGTGTGCAATACTTCCAGGGACTCCCCCACAGCACCTGGATCACCCACAGAGATCACCCACAGAGTGGCATGAGGAAGCCACTCTCCATACAGAGGCACTGAGAGGAAAGAACCTTTAGGAGTTCCCTTGGTCCCCCGGGGAAGTAGACAGAAGCCACAGGGGGTGTACATTACAGGCAGGAGGCTCAAGCTAACAGGATCACAGCTCAGGCCAAAAAGTACAGGGAGGCCATCATTTTTAGCCCTCCCCTCAGACAATTGACAATTCATTCATCTTGGTGGACACCAGCATGTGCCTGTAGCTCGGCTGAATACTGTTCATGTATCATTTCTTATGGTCCTTCCTCCATTCATAAGTTCTTTCTCCCCCATCAAAGAGTAAGCTTGTGCAGAGGCAAGTGGAGCAAGGGCTGGATGCAGGCTGGAGGCCAAAGGCCTCTTTCCCCACCTGCTTCTGGGCAAGAACCTCAGCAAGCCCCAGCAAGACTCCGAAGAACCATCCCAGGCCCAGCAGTACGGGTCAGTGGGCAAGGGCACTTGTTGCCATCCTGATGACTTGAGTTCAATACCTAGGCAGTGAGAGAGAACTGACTTCTGTAACTTGCCCTTGTAGAGGGGCCCCAAAACAGCTGGATCACACAGCTGCTGTGACAGGCTTAGAGGCCCAGACCCAGCTTCTGTGACAGACTTACTGGGAGGCAACACTCAGACCCAGCAAAAGCCATAAGCTGACCCCACCCAGGGAGGGCCTGCGTCTAAGGGGAAGGAACTGACACCTCAAACATTCCAACCATTAGATAAGGTGGCTATGATATAAAAACTACCCCACCTGAGCTCAGGGCTCTCTGCTCTCACCACTGCATCAAACAGAGAGACCAAGCTCAGAGCTTGAAGATAATAAAGGCTCCGTGGTGGTCTTTTGGGGGTCTCCACCATCTGGGCATAACACCCTCTGACCTTCACTTTGGCACTGTGGCAGGCATACACACACACACACACACACACACACACACACACACACACACACACACATTCACCAATGTAAAAAAAAAATTTTGAGAAGATGTCCCAGAACAACTGTACAGGCAGCTCACAGCTGAGGTGTACTCGGCTGTCTCCTTACGGGATCAACCCACAGGTCCCCATTTGGTTCATAACTGTCTTAGTTAGTTACGGTTTCTATTGCTATGAATAGACACTATGGCTATGGCGATTCTTATAAAGAAAAACATTGGGGCCAACTTACAGTTCAGAGGTTTAGTCCACTATCATCATTGTTGGAAGCACGGCAGGGAGCAGGCAGACATGGTGCTGGAGAAGGAGTCAAGAGTTCTACACCTGGATCGGCAGGCAGCAGGAAGAGAGAAGAGACAGTGGGCCTGGTTTGAGCATCTGAAACTTCAAAGGCCACCCCCAGTGACACATTTCCTCCAGTAAGGCTACACCTATCCAAAAAGGCCACACCTCCTTTAGTGCCACTCAATATGAGCCTATGGGGGCCATTTTCATTCAAACTACCACAATGGCCATCTACAGGGTAGAAAGCCGAGCAATACTGATGCTTCCATCTTCCTTTTCCTGGAAGCATATAAGGGCTGAAAATACGATTCTTCAGTCTTGAAGTTTTTGATGAACATTAAGTCAGCAGTAGTCATGCAACGACTGAGCTGAGGGGTGAGGCTGAGGGGGTCTCCTCAGCCTGCCAACTGGGTACAGGGCACTCATTTTCCAGCCCTAAGTAGCTCATGCTACACCCTGAGGGACTATGTCCCAGAAAATTTGGGTGAACTTTCCAGAAACATGATGCCTCCAGGCAATGAAAAGGCAGGTTTGTCTTTGAAGATCTGGGCTATTTCTGCCTACTGTTGGCTGCCACGGGTGGTGTTTCCGGCTCACACTCTAGCATAAAAGTCAGTTTTCAGATAGAAACACTCTTTATCCTCCTCCTAAAAAATGCATGTAGGAGGGGTCCTGCCTGACTTCATAAAGAACCTCAAACTATGTGTGTTTCGAAGCAGGTGTTATCCAAGGCCCAATTGCAACAAGAGGTCTCCCTTTCTGCAAGATGTCTTCATTGTTCTGGCCCTGTCTGCCGCATCCTTGCTAACAATGCCTTGGGTGGCCACTCCAAACATCTAGAAGCCAAACAAAAGATAGAGTGGTCACCTCTGGTTTGTTATGGTGGAACCCCATAGCTTCCTGGAGGGGAGCCCACTTAGATGACACAGTGGCCTCAGTCTTATTTAAGACACTGAACTGATGTTGAAGGAGAGATGGCAAGCATCTCTCTTCAGCCATGATGAGGGAGAGCTAAACACTTTTGGACCCATCCCTGATGCAGTCCTCAGCAGAAGTAGCCTTGAAGGATGCTTTAGTTTGACTGTGTCCCCTCCAGAACTCAGAGTTTCTGATGTGCTAGCATCGGGAGACGGTGCTCTTTAGATTTTGTGATTAGGTCACACAAGGAATCATGGATGGATGGATTATTCCTCTTCCATGGGGCTCAATGAGCCATCTTGGAAGCAGAGACTGGGCCCCCATCACACACTGAAACTACCAGCACATTCCTTGAACTATTTGGCTCCAGAATTAAGAGAAAATCAGTTTCCATTCTTAATAAATGAAGACCTAATGTGATGGTCAGTCACTGCTTAGAAATTCCAGCACTTTTATTAAACTTCCTAGGACACCCTACTCTGAGTAACAGTCTCATTTGTTTTATTAAAAATTCATTTTGTGTAGGAAGATGGCTCAGCGGGTAAAGGCTCTTGCCACCCAGTCCTGATGGCCTTCATCCAACCCCAGAACTCATGCGAAGGGGGAAGGCGAGCATTGATTCCATAGTATCCCATGACCCCCACCTGCAGTATGGCACACACACACACACACACACACACACACACACACACACACACACCATGCATACCACATTTACATACACAATAACACAAATTAAAAATTCAATTGCATTCTTTGAAAGGCTTACCTCATATTTCCTGGTCTTACCCCCCAGTCAACAATATACATTTTGCTAAGAATAGTTTTTGTTTAAATGTGTCTTCCTCTGTGTATTGCAAGGAATCTGGATGGCATGGAGTAAAGAGATCTGTTCAGGGTGGTTCCAATGCCATTGCTTATCCAGTGACCAGGGAACAAATGTTGGGGAAGCAAGAGCCTTCTCCGGAGGGGAGTAAGGAGCAGGAGCAGCAGCCTCTCCCAACACTCCTGTGATGTTCTCCAAAGCAGAAAAAGGTCAAGCACACATTGCTAGAAAGGGTACTTCTGTAGGTTCTGCACTCTGTGTAGTAAGTACCCCCGAGAGGCCTCTGCCTCGTAGAATTGGCCATCTTCATCTAGCCTCACATCTCCAGCCCCTGGGGCTATGTCAGTTGTGTGTACTTGGCCTGTTCCACCTGTTGACCCAGGCAAGCTACCTTGCTTCCTGTCCATTGTCCTTTGCTAATCCGCACAGCATTGAACCACAAAACTCAAAAGCACTTGGCATCATCTCAGCTATCCATAAATGTTACTTTTCATACTATTGTCTGTCATAGAATAAGGACTAGTGCTCCTTCAACTAGATCATCAAAGGAAAAATGGATGACTCAAACTGCAAACTTTCCTGAGTCATTAGCCTGACGCCATTCTAGCCACTGACCTTGAATGCTGGACTTAGGGATAGAAGGAGAGGGTAAACAGTGACAAAGAGAGGAAGATAAAGTTCAGAAATTACCATCTAAGCTGTCTGGGGGGACTGAATTATCTGGTAGACGTACTTCTTAGAATAAAGCCCCCAGACCACCTGCCTCAGTATGACTCCGGTATTTCAAATGTTGGTTCTAGAGTTCCATCCCAAATCAGTCAATCTCTGTTGGTGAGCCCAGGAACCTGCATGTTGACATTTGAGGAGATCGGTGTGCATGCACACTTTCAGTTAGGACACTGGCACCATTGACATGGTTGGCCACTTTAGGTGCATTTGATTTAAATGGTAAGGATAGAAAAGAGATTATTAAAAGACTCCAGCTGAGAAATGACAAGGCTATGAACTAAGTCATTAGTGGGATAGGGGTATGAGGAAGTCAACCCAACAATTTGGGGTTTGAATGACTGAGTAAATAAGGAACAATTAGAGCACTCAGAAGGAGGAAAAGCATTAACAGACTTGGCCATTTTGGCTATCCAGACTCAGGAGGCATGAGGGGAAGTTGACAGGACTGGAGCCTAAGGTAAGTTCTAAGACATGGATCCAAATGTGTGGGAAAGACATATCCTGAGCAATTTTCAAGGAAGAATATGAGAGCAGAGAAAAAAGACTGACGGCAGAATCTTCTGGAACATCAACATCAAAGGGGCAGGCAGAGGAAAGGAGCTTTGTCTGCTGAATGGTGCTAATTATGTGTGAACATTTAGGTGCATGCATATGTCTCCATTTTAGAGAATCCATATTTTAAGATGACAGAATGCTCAGGTGAGTACACCCTGATCAACATGACTGTGAAGTATGAGCCCAAGCTACTTAATGAATTTAGTCAATAATCTCAGTGAGATATGAAGTAACCAGAGAGAAAAGCCCTAGTTTGGGGCCAGCGCAATGGCTCAGCGAGTAAAAATGCTTCCGGCACACAAGCTTGATGACCCGAGTTCAATCTCCTGATTCCACAATGGAAGGAGAGAACTGACCTCTGAAAGCTGTCCTCTGACTTCCACACACGTGCCAGGCATGCATACGTGAGTATGGCTGCACTCATACATGAATAATAATAATAATTAAATAAATAAAATTTGGGGAACTTGAGAGATGGCTCAGCAGTTAACTCAGCAGCTAAGAGCAATCACTGCTCTTAGGACCTGGGTTTGGTTCCTAGTGCCAACACCATGTGGTTCACCACCACCTGTCCAGTTGCAGACAATCTTTTGGCCTTTCCCACCCCACCACTTGAATGCACATGGTGCACATAAACTCGCAAAGGCACAACATGCATACATAGAAATAAATAAAAATTAACAAATCTTTAAAAGTGAATTAAAAAATTCAAAGCCCTAGTTTGGACAAGGAGGTGAGGAGAGGGTTGAGTAGATTAGCTGGTGCTAGTTCAAATGACAAGGATATAATGTGACCCTACGCAAAGGGCTCAAGTCCCTGCATGTTGAGAAAGTCAAATTCTCCCAGCCACTTTGCCTCCAGTAAGAAATGGTTCTGGCTGACCTTTTCAGGTAAGAGTGTGAGGAAAACCAAAAGGCCACTTGGAAAGACAAACTGCTTCTTTCCTTCACATTTGAATCAGGCCAGAAAGGGTATCTATTGTAAATGTCCCTCAGCTGAGAATGAAATGAATTTTTCTCCTTTCCCTGTTTATGTGTATATTGTTGGTAATAATTCACAAGTATTTCCCCATTTATGCAGTATTTTACTTCCCCCAATAAATATTTAACTGTGACTGTGCCTTGAAAGAAAATAGGAATTTACATGGAACTTTGCAGTGTGCCAGAGCTCACACTAAGTGCATTACTGTATGGGCCCACCGGCTCCACACAACCATGTTATAGAAAAGGTATTGTTAGCCTTGTTTACAGAAGAATAAACATAGGGGTTGGAGGTCAAATAATTACCAAGGTCCTCATCTAGTCATCCCAACCAGCTGGCTTCTGTGCTTGCTCTCATGTCTTTGTATCCTGCTCATGTCACAGGACCCACTGGTTATTAATAAGTGGAACAGTTTAGATTATACAGGTACTTCTGACCTTCTCAGAGGAAGTCAAATATAGCTAACACCTCTGAACTAACATGAGGGTTCATGGTAAATAAACTATCAGTGAGACAGAATGATTCATGAATGTTCTTCCTTGATAGCAGGTGATTTGGACCTTGTAATATATGTACATGTCATTAAAGAGCATTATGCATATTCATCACTTTAGATGGCTTTTACCTCTCTGGTTTTAACTAGATTATACATTTCAGAGGTGAGGAAGTGCACGCTCCCAATATTTGGAGTTACTGTGCAGGAAACCAGTGAAAGGCCAGTGACGCGTTTTTAATGAATGCGTCAGATAATGGAGGGGAGCTCAGAGAGCCGCTTTTAGCTCACAAAAATATTGCCAGTTATTTCCCCAAATTGTCTGAGTTTGTGAATCTAAACCTATAGTATATTTTAGGGCTTGATGTTTATCTCTCTTTTAGAATATTTAAATATTTTTTTTCTAACTTCCAGGGAAATGTAGGCATAATTTCTTTTGAAATCCCCACAGAATTAACAGCATTTCTTTCTGCTAATGTATAAAGAAAAGAACTTTTTAAAAAAAATCTGAGCAAATCTTTGAAGCAAAGAGAGCCACCTGGAGGGTGGCTACAGTCCAAAGTCACCCAGAACCTTGTACTCTCCTGCCAGCACCCCAAACACCCACGCGTCTCCTCTCCCTTGCACCTGCATGCTCTCAGCCACTCCCAAACACAAGCTCTTGCCTACTACATAATGCTTTGCATTGAGTTGAAAGGGTAAATGCTCGAGCTCAAAGTGACCAGAGTTCTTCTGTTGAGAATCCTAGCAGGATGGCATTCCTGACAGTGGGGAACTCAGTCATTGAAAATAGTCCCCAAGCTGAGGACACATTTTAAGATGTCTCTTGGAGCTGGAGACATGGCTCAGCAGTTAAGAGCACTGGCTGCTCTTCCAGAGGACCCAGGTTCAAGACCCAGCACCCACATGGCAGCTCACACCTGTCTGTAACTCCAGACCTGAAACTTCCCATGGCAAAACATTAATACGCATAAAATAATAAAAAAAGTCTCTTAAAGGCTTCATTATCTATTGATAACAAGATAAGAACGTCTCTGTTTAGAATTTATTCCTTATCTTTTGTGTGTATATGATGAGAGTATTTGAGTGGGGGACGTGATGTGGTATGCACACGGAGGTCAGAAGGCAGCCTTGGGTGAGGGTCCTTGCCTTCCGCCTTATGTGAGGCAGGGTTTCCTGTTGCCACTGTCCATCAGGTTCAATGGCTCTTCAACTTTCTGGGATTCTCCCATCCTGCACCGGAGCCCTGAGACGGCAGGGGAGCCCCACCGTGTCTGGCTGTACGTAGACTTTGGGGGTCCTCGGACTTGTGCAGCCAGCACTTTCCCCACGGTGCCATCTTACCAGCCCGAGTTACCAAAGCTTGACAAATTTCTGGAGAAGATCCAAGAGGGGCCAGAGGCCCAGCCGAGTCCTTCCAGTAGCTGAGCGGATTTCTCTCTGAGGACAGGATCAGTTCTGAAGGAGCGGGCTGAAGAGCTGAGAGGCCGTATGCAAGGCTTCCTGTACCTAGGGCTGAATATGAAGCTCACTTTAGGCATGAGACAGAGTGGGCTGATGAACCCGTTTTCTTTGGTGGGATCACGAAAAGGCTGTGTAAGACTGTGCATAGAGCCAGCTGGTGGTGGCACACCTTTAATCCCAGCACTCGGGAGACAGAGCCAGGCGGATCTCTGTGAGTTCAAGGCTAGCCTGGTCTATGGAGCGAGATCCAGAACAGTCACCAAAACTACATGGAGAAACCCTGTCCCCTCCACCAAAAAAAAAAAAAAAAAAGAAGAAGACTGTGCATAGGAGCAAATTGAATGCTGATGAAGTAGACAGAACATGTGGAGAGAGAGAATGGCCGGGAGCCCACAGTACAGCTAGGAAATATCAAACCATACATACAGGAGGTTCCACTACTCCCAGCTAGACATTAAGAAGCACTGGTAAAATACACATTAAATTTAAGGCTTTGTTCTGAAACAAACAAACAAATAGGCAAAGAACATTAAGGGAGGAAATGATCAGCCACAGAGTGGGAGAAAATTCAATGCATTAAATGAATAAAAGGGTCCTGTTCTTTTCATATGGAGGCAGGGCAATGTGATAGGAAAGACTCTGGGGACATGGGAAGAGAGAGGAGTTCCTCACTCAGGATGGCTGTCACAGCTGTGATAAGCAAGCAGAGAGATACGTTAGCAACCCGGAACTTACTTGGCCTAAACCACACACACCCCTTTCCTAGGAATGCACCTGCAGCCTGGGACC